AATAATAATAATAATTTTATAATATAACATTTACGGATATCATAAAAATGGGAGTGAGAGACATCTATAACTGAAATCGGCAATTACTTAGTTGCCAACCCAATATATTATTATTTTATTTCCTTTCATTTCTCTGGACTGTTTTAACCCGTGGATAGGTATTTCTTCTGTAATACTTTTTCGTTTTCAGTCAGCACCGACTGAATATTAATAATCAGCTCGAACTCTCCGTGAATTTTCTTATTGCGCTGCGGCCCGGTTGTCAGCACATGCGAGCAGAAATTCCACGAAGTTACGAGAGGGAGAGAGAGAGAAAAAAGAACGTTCGGCCGGAATTCATCGTGAAAGGATTCTATAAGTCTATTTCGTGGTTCTAGCGCGTATTGGGACCGCGGCGCGGACACTTCCATGAAATCCCTCCTAAAAATACTTGATGGAGCATCGGATCCCATGGCGGTGTTTCTCCTTTTGCTACCGTTGCCCGCCTTTCAGCGGTGTTCGGTTTTACAGCAGGAAATGCTCTCCTCTCGTAGGAACGAGCCGCTGGAATTCGAGAAGAATGCGACCGCCCTTTCGTCCGACTTGTTGTCCTCTGACGTCATTCTCTCTTTTAGTCAATGAATCCCGTCTTCCAGCCTTCGCGGGACCCTTAAACGATTAGTCCTCCGCCGATTCTCGGGGACAGGAATATTGGCCCGGACCTGCTCGAAATGCCGCTTGCGCTTGCCGATCTCAGCTGCGTGCCGCAGCCGCCGCGAACCGACCACCAGACTTGGCTTCTCGTTCTTGGCTTCTCTCACTCCTGCTATCGCCCTCGTGCTCTCTCCCGCTCTCTCTCTCTCTCTCTCTCTCTCTCTCTCGTTCTCTCTCTCTCTCGTTCTCTCTTTTCTGTTGTCTCTCTCTCCCCGCTCTCCCCCCTGCTGTCTCTCTCTCTCTCTCTCTCTTTCTCCAGCTATTTCTGCTCTCTCTCCTCTCTCTCGCTCCCACTCCTCTCCTCTTCCTCTCCTCTCTCTAGTTTCTCTTTCCTCACTCCCTTCTGCTATCTCTCTCGCGCGCTCTCTCTCTCTCGTTCACTCTACTCTCTCTCCTCTCTATCTCCTCTCTTTCTAATCTCTCCCTCCTCACTCCTCTCTCTCTCTCTCTCCCGCTCTCTCCTACTCTCTCTCTCGCACTCTCCCGCTCTCTCTGTCCCGCTCTCTCTCTCTCTCTCTCTCTCTGCGCTCTATCTTCTACTCTCTCTCTCCCGCTTTATGTCTGCCCTCTCTCTCCACTGTCTCCTCTCTCCTCTGTCTCTCCTCTCCCTCCACTCTTCGTCTATCTCTCGCCTCTCTCTCTTTCTTCTGTCTCTCACTCGCCCTTTCCTCTCTCTCCTCTGTCTCCTCCCTTTTCTGTATCTCTCACCTCTCTTCCCTCCTCTCTCTTCCTCTCCCGTTCTCTCTCGCCTCTCTTCCCTCCTCTCTCTTTCTCTCCCGTTCTCTCTTTCCTCTCTCCCTATCTCGCCCTTTCCTCTCTCTTTGTCTCTGTTTCCCCCTCTGTCCCCCCCGTCTCTCTCTCTCTCTCTCTGTCTTTCCCGGTCTCTCTTTCCTCTCTCTCTGTCTCTCCCTCTGTTTCCCTCTCTCTCTCTCTCTCTCTCTCTCTCTCTGTCTCTCTTTCTCTCCCTATCTATCTACCTATCCATCTCTATTACATCTATCTATCTTTCACTCTCGCGTTGCGGGGCTCTCCCGTTGCTTTCGTTTTTCAACCGAGAGCAAAAACTAGTCGCGTGATCTGGTTCATTCTGCCGATATAGAATTATGCGGCATTATAACCCGTTCTCGATAATGTTATAACGATCTTTCGGTGCCGACGCTCGGCTACGCGGTATAGAAAATTCGCCGGCGTCGCTGTCGCGAGAATCCACGTGTGCGATCCAATTCTTTTTTACGATCGGCTATTACAGACGAAAAACGATGAGAAATTATGGGGGAGCGCGGCGTGTACACCGGAAAGTTTGATGGTCTAGAGCGGGATCGTTTCGAGATCGAGTCGGAACGAACGAAAGGCTGTCCGCAAAAATTCGTGGACACGCGAGTAATCATCCGAACTGGCTTTAACGCTTCGACTGGCCAGACCGATGACTTTAACAATTTCGTACCAGGACACGCGTGTCAATTAGCGTGCCCATTGAACTGACGTCCGAAGTTTTCGACAAATTAAGTAGGTTTTTTTTTCTTTTTACCTGTATCGCACTTCTCGAAACAGTTTTCCAACGAGTTACTGTGCTCTTAAAAAAATGAAAAGTTAATTAACGCGTTTCGGTTACCGAGCATTTTCTAGTTAATGCGTGTCAATTTCTGCAGAATCGTCTGATTACGATGCTTGAATTACTGTTATCAGTACTAGGTAAATAATCTTGTGTCAAGTTCTTTTTAAACGTGCAGGGTGTTTCGGTTAATGGAAGCCCTCTACAGTGCTGGGAACAATTATAAATTCAAAGTAATTTTTACGTGTTTAATGATATTTTTTTGAAATAAAAACCAACGAAAAAGCTATATTTTTATATTTCCATTTTCAGGAAATGTAGCCTTCGCGTAATACAAATATTACCAATGTTCGATCTATAATGTTCGAAAAGATTCCGCTATGTTAAAATACCATAAATAAATAAATAAATGAATTAATAAATCAAATAAATAAATTAATAAATAAATAAATATATATATTTTGAGAATCCATTAAATAGTAAAAATAATATTTATTTGAATCAATAATTTTTATTTGTTTATAATTATTTATTATTACCAATGTTCGATTTGTAATGTTCAAAATAATTCCGCTATGCTAAAATACCATAAATAAATAAACAAATACAAGAATTAATAAATCAAATAAATAAATGAATGAATAAATAAATAGATATATTTTGAATCCATTAAATAGTAAAAATAATATTTATTTGAATCAATCAATTTTTATTTGTTTATAATTATTTGTTACAAGTTGAAGTACTGTAAATAAGTTGGTAACTTTTTGAGCTTGAGAAAAATAATTTTAGCCATCGAAATCGGGCAGATACATCCTACTTGGATTTATTGACAAAAATGTGGCCTGGATTTTTTTCTGAAGCGATCACGGGGGTGGGTGGAGCGGTATGGACGGAAAGGGGGGGGGGGCGTTTCCCGGGCACCGAGGAAGAAAGAAACGAAAACGCAAACGAAACCGAAAGCGAAACCGAGCAAAGAAGAAGAGGAGCGCGTCTCACGAGGGAAGATTCTAAAGGGGTTGCCGTTTATTTTCAGATCGTGCGCCCAGCGAAGGGGATCAACGTCGGTGCAAAAACAGCACGCCCCTGCCGCTTCCCGGCTCCCTTACCACCAACGGAGAAGGTAACTATGTCTTCAAGGTTATACGTACCCCTTCTCGCTTCTATCACCATCGTCTGGACGACGTGGTCCGACGTGTACGACGCGCGAACGAAAACTCGCGGGCTGCATAGAAAAGGAAACCGACGAACCGTCGCTTCGTCGCGCTTCGTTTCCAGCTCGTTGATCGCGGTCCTCCGCTCCGCTCGGAGTCGCCTGTCGCAGGCCGCGTTCTACTCGATGAATTTTCCGTCTGCCGTCACGATTTGTCCGAGCCGGTCATCGATAACCAGGCCGCGGAGTCGTTAACTTGAGCCAACACCGTGATAATTTTATATTTTTTTTCTCGCTAAATCACAATATTGAACTGCTACGAGATCAAGCGATGGATGTTAAACGTTGGGTTGGACATTTATGCGAACGGATAACAGGCAAAGAATAGTTAATCTACTAGGATTTCTTTGTAGTTCGTAATTTGCTGGAAAAATAGAAACGTTGATAACTCTTCTATGCCTATACAGGGTGTTCCAAAATTATCATTATTATTATTATTATTATTATTATTATTATTATTATTATTATTAGTGACAGGTTCGTGAGGTGATTTGAAGTAACTTTTTCCTTAGCGAAAATGCAATCCGCGGCTTCGTTTACGAGTTATCAACGAAAAACACTGACCAATAAGAGGCGAGATTGGCAGGCGCCCCACTCTCGCGACCACTGCTGCTGCGTCAGCGCGACGCGGCATTGGCTACAAGAGTAGATCGCCGGCTGCGCTCGCTCTCCGATTGGCTGGCGCTAGGCGGTTGAGCCAATCAGCGGGACTGGACTTTGGCCGCCTCGCGGCAACTGACATGCGCTTTTAATTTAATAAGCCGTGATCGAAATATCAAATTCTACTGAAACGTTAACGAGATGTAAAGTTTCTTAACCTTTTGTCTACAAGTTACTCACGTATTTTTCGTTAGTTCTTGCTGGATCTCGCAAAGAACGTGATTGCGCTCTCAAATGTTTTTTTCCTTCTCTGAATCCTTTGTCTGATGCCTCGCCCTCGCGGCCGGCTGCGCCCGCTCTCCGATTGGAGAGTTAAGCTGGCGCTAGGCGGCCGAGCCAATCAGCGGAACTGGGCTTCAGCCGTCTATTGGCTCGGTCGCCTCGCGCCAGCCTGCCATGGGTCACTGTTTTTCGTTCATAACTCGTGTTTTGGGACACCCTATATAATAATCCTCCAAAAGGAGTCGAACCTTGTCGCAACAAACTAGAAATTACCCTCTAAAACGGTGATATATCCGGTGTTCCTATCGTTGTCATGTTAGGCTCGCAATGCTACAATCGCCTCAACAATAAAATCGATCGATGATCGATAATATATGTATTAACCGATAAATAGGGATTAACCACGGAGAATTTCGTTGATAAGAAGAACCGCTTTTAACACTAAACCTTACCAAGCAGTAATACTAACCGGCATGTGCTGCTTCACAAAAGTGAGAAGACCGAATTTATTTAGAATTTGCAAAGTTTTTATTATAAAACTTGCTCCAATAATATAACTTATTCAAGTGTTTTCCACGAAAGAGTCACGGAACTTTTCAGAATTGCAAAATAAGAAAGCGGTCACTTTGACCGCGGTAGGTTTAGTGTTAAGTTTCAAGAACGTGTATCAACAACAACAACATCGGTCACGCGAAACGCGCGAAAAGTCCGAAGTTGTGCAAATCGCGAACTTCTTGCGGAATGTCGGAATTCGGACACTTTTCAAAACGCAATAACTGTTTTAGAACTGGACTAAACGACTTGAATTTTTTTTCAGATGATAGAGCGACAAGTCTACTAGACCATAACTAGAATACTTTCTTAAAGGTTGCTATTGCTTAGAATGACGAAAGAAAACAAAAATCTCTTGCTTTTAACTTTTTTTTATCTGAGCCTATAATGAAAATTTAAAAAATTTGTTTTGTAGATCTCGGTATGTTGTTAAAAATTTCACCGAAATCTGTTGACCTTCGTACGAGCTGTAAACAATTAAATATCGCAAAAATCGCAGCAGGCGTCAATCTGATTCCAACGGACTATAGGACATTTCACGCGGGGAACATTTATAGATTGCGATGAGGGAGTTGATATTTTAGGGCGTCGAGGGTTTTGTTAGGCTCGTTTTTGTTACGGTAGCATGGAACGAGCTCAAGTCCAGTTTTCGTTATAATTAGATCGCAGATCGTCATGCAAAATATAAAATATAAATAATTTTCTGCGTCGATCGTAAGAAACAGGCGGCAATGTATTTTCTTTTTTCTTTCAATGGTTGTAACAAATTGAAAATGATGTAACGCTATTCGTAACTTCGTGTTCGTCTTCGATGCTTTGTATTCCGATTTCCCGTTTTTACCGCAAATACGTTTCATAAATTTTTTAAATATTTTTATATATTTTATAAATATATTTTATTCGATGTTTTCGTTCTTACGACCTGACCACGTAAGACAACTCGGTAGTTTAGACAGTCGACTTTTTTTCAATTTTCAATTTCTTCGATTCTCATTTCAGTTACACGAATAATTACATGATGCATTTTACGGATGCAAATTGTTCAGAAAAATCGTGGCAGATATATTTTTAACAACGCAACGGTGATCTATAGACAAGAAACGGAAAAAACATATTATAACCGAAATTATACAGGGTGTCCCGAAAATGTCTCGCAATCCGGAAATGGGAGATTCCTGAGGTCATTTGAAGCAACTTTTTCCTTTGCGAAAATTTTCTCCGAGGCTTCATTTACAAGTTATTAACGAAAAACACTGACCAATAAGAGGCGAGCTCGGCTGGCGCGCGGCGGCCCAGCCAACGAGCGCACGGAGCCCAGTTCCGCTCATTAGCTCGGCCGTCTCGCGCCAAATGATCTCGCTTCTGATTGGTCACTGTTTTTCGTTAATAACTCGTAAACGAAGCCGCGGATTGCATTTTCGCTACGGAAAAAGTTGCTTCGAATGACCTCAGGAATCCCCTACTTTCGAATTGCGAGACATTTTTGGGACACCCTGTATATTTAAGCCTTACATTTTCATTTTATATTACTAATAGAGTAAATTCTCCCCAATTTTCTTTCAGCTTGTAAACAAAAATGGACAATTTGGGAAATGGAGATATGATTATTCGAGCTTGGCGGCTCATTTTTATAGTTGTCGACTGTCAACAACTATAAAAACGAGGCGCAAGGCTCGAGTAATCGTATCTCCTTTTCCTAAACAGTTTATTTTTGTTTAGAAGCTGAGGGACAATTGAACAGAGTTTACTGTATGTTGGAGGTCAACGTAGCGTTTGTTTTGACGTCGGCAGTGCGCCACGGTCGAACCGTCGCACAGTTGTCGGTTTCCACACAAAAAAAAAACGGAGAAAAACGTACAGCATCTAAAATTATATATTTAAACCTTAATTTTTCATCTTATATTATTAGTGGTTTCATCTTATATTATTTTGGGTTTTTGTTGGGGTAGAATAATTTTTTTTAATTTAATAATATTATTTTTAAAATAATAATTTTCATCTTATGTTATTAGTGGTTTCATCTTATATTATTTTGGGTTTTTGTTGGGATAGAATAAAGAAAACAAAATGCAGTATTTATAATCAAATTTTTAAAAAATACAATTTTTGTTTTCAATTCGATTCAATTCAATTGAACATCCTCTCCAGTTTCATGTTACGAACAATTGTTTCGAAACCACTAATTCGATTGTTTCTTTGAGAAATGCTTTCGATTTTTCGTTTCTTTTTTCCCTCGTACTCGACACGAACAAGTCGGGTGCGAGCAAAAGTCTGCATATAATCCGAAAAGGATAATTTATAATTATTCTCATTAGCTAGAATAGAGTACGATAGCTATCATGATATGCTTCGTGGCACGTGCCATTTTGGCATTATTATTAGACGATTTCGCTGATAGCAGCGAATAGCAGCTAAATTTTTATTTTGTTATTAATGTAAGGCGTCGCTCTTCGAAATACGATCAAAGCAAATACCAAAGTCCACCGAACTCGTAATTAAAAAATGAAATGAAAATTCAGCACATTCAATTGGTCGTAACTAAAAAATGTGAGAAATAAAAAAGTGTCCTAGGACATAATTTAAGTACATACCGAGTACATTAAATTCTGTAAAAATTATTTATTTTCGAAGAAGAAAATTGCAAACGATGATTATATTATATTATATTATATTATATTATATTATATTATATTATATTATATTATATTATATTATATTATATTATATTATATTATATATAATAATAAATATACAGGGTGTCCCAAAAATGTCTCGCAATCCGGAAATGGCGGGTTCCTCAGATCATTTGAAGCAGCTTCTTCCTTTACAAAAATTTTCTGCGAGGCACCGTTAACGAGTTATTAACGAAAAACAGTGACCAATAAGAATCGAGTACGGCTGGCGCGTGGCCGCCCAGCCAATCAACGCACGAAGCCCAGTTCCGCTCATTGGCTCGGTCGCCTCGCGCCAGCTGAGCTCGCCTCTCATTGGTCACTGTTTTTCGTTAATAACTCGTTAACGGTGCCTCGCAGAAAATTTTTGTAAAGGAAGAAGCTGCTTCAAATGATCTGAGGAACCCGCCATTTCCGGATTGCGAGACATTTTTGGGACACCCTGTATATTACAATTATGAATATATATAATAATACTTAATTTATTAAATAGTGTGTAAAATGAACAAGTAGTGTAAAAGATCATAGTAAATCATAAGCCACATGTTTAATTTTCTACTAGTGAATAGATTTTTTTATGGAAACCGACCACTGTGCGACGTATCGAACGGCGACTACCAAGAATGTAAAGAATATACATCTTCGTGATCTCCCGTGAAAGAAGTTTGAGGTGGAACGGAGGATCGCGCCATAAAGACGTTCGAAAATTCCCTTATCGGAATTCTCAACACACGACCCAGATGTCTTCCAACCGAGAGATAGAAGAAATATGGTCGAGACAAAAAAACTTTGATGGCATTAAAC